CCAACAATAATATGCTTATAAATCAGAGTCGTTGATCTTTTTTGATCTAACAGCTATAAGATGAGTTGTCAAATTTCAGATTTGACACTGGTGTCAAAGAATCCTATCCCCCCCTCTCTCTCTCTCTCTCTCTCTCTATATATATATATATATATATATATATATATATATATATATATATATATATATATATATATATATAGAGAGAGAGAGAGAGAAAGGTACATGATATTTTGACACTAGTATGATATTAATTCTTAACCGTTAATTTTCATCAATCTGACGTTTATAATTTATTGGGAATTATTAGTTAATTAATAAATATGACTCAATAATTATAACCATCAGATTGACGAAAATCAATAGTTAGGATTTGATGTCAAATTTCAAAGTTTGACATCGGTGTTAAAGGATCCTGCCCATATATATATATATATATATATATATATATAGGATTAATATTTCTCATATAGAAGATAATTTTATTTCTTACACAGATATGTGAGGTTCATATGGGGTCATATGAAGAGAAGAGAGAAAAAGAAAACAAGAATTCTATACACCAATCCATATGGATCCTATACACCAATCCATATATATATATAATACGGTTATATTGACAATTTTTTTTTTTTACAAACTTACAAATTACGCTATGTCTAATCGGTAAGACTCTACTCAAGAGTGTCTTACCAGTCAGACACAGTGTAATTTATAAACAAAAAGTTTGTAAATATAATCTTTCCCATACATATAATATTTTTCTTGTTAAGGGTTACTTTTTCCTACTCCAATGGTTTTCTTACCGCCTAAGCTTACTTTCAAGCATAAAGTACTATTCATACTTAAAAATAACTTTGTTAGCTTACCAAAAAAATAAAAAATAACTTTGTTATTAATACATGTCGAAGGTAATTTTAATTTCTCTCTCTTTTTAAAATTATTATCAACCAGGTATGTGAAGATTGGATTCAACTTGTCTAGTTTTACATGCCAATTACATAAATCTCTTTCAATATGTATACAGTCACGTAAGATAATCAGACAAATTAATAAAATTACGACTATCGACATACAAAAATGCACCTTTGTATAAGTATGGTTGTGCCAGCAGCCATCAGTAGTAACTGGTAAGAGTGTTTGGGAACTTTCAAAAACTAGATATCCAAGAATAATGGAGCCAGTTTTTAAATATAATTTTTTTGTAACTAATTACATTTTTAAAAAAGTAGTTCTTATGTAAAACTGGTTTTGGGATAAAATTAGCTAAAAAAACATTTCAATTCTTTTTTTTCTAATTCAACTATTTTCGTACTTCTTTTTCTTCCTTTTTGTACATCCTTTCTTTTTCCTTCATTTAAGTTTAAAGTATTATTCGATAAAATATAACTATAGGGATCACTCACTTATCTGATGGGGGGCAAAGGTTTTTAAATTTAAATTCAAAAATAAATTATATTAGAACTAGTTTCAAACAAATTTGATTCAAATTAAGTTTAAGTTAATACTAATTACAAAATAACCTAAATCTACATAATTTTTTAATTTAAGGAAGTACTCAACACTGAAATGGGGTGCCCCAGAGGAAGCCAGCATGGGGTTATACAGAAAGGAAGAGGAGGAAAGAGACAACACTATCGGTTTAGCTATGGCAAATCCTAAAGAGTTCTAAATCAATTTTAAGGCTTACAATACTGACCTAACATGTAACCATTAGATTTAGAAGGATATGCTACAATGTTCATTGAATTTCTAATAAAAGTGAGGGACATAGGTTGCATATTTTTCGTCCTCTAATTAACATAATATGCAATCAGAGTATAGAAGTAATGAAAATGAGATGCAATCCGCTATAATTAGATAATAAAAAAATTATAGTGTGTAAATTACATTGTATGTAGCATTATTGATTTTAGAGAAAAAAAAGAGAGGATAAATGGTATAAATATGTTTTCATGAAGCAACTATGTTTGTCAGTTATTTATTTACTTATGCTTTTTATAATATCCTTCAGTATGAAATTTAATTAATTGCTTGTAATAAGACAATTAATCTTGTATTAGTGGGTTGAATTAGGTAAAATATCTAATTAAATGAATTAGGGTCATTTTTGAGGAAAAAATGCAGTAAGTGAAAATTATGAGATAAAAATATGTGTAGGCAAAAGTACCCAAAATGTAAAAGTAAAAGTAAAAATATTCCTAGAAAAATATTCCAGACCTTTGGGTAAAGTTTGAAAGAGAACAAAGCTAAATAGATAGATATATTTTTACCTGGTTAAAGTGGCTCACCCTTAATTAAGAGTTAAAACATGAATTTCTCTCTCCATTCTTCTTCTTCCTCGTCGACAAGCAGGTAGTGAGAGGGAGAGAAAATCAAGTTGAAGCCCCAAACCCTAGCTCACTCGTCTCTCACAATCCTTCCATTCTAAAGCCAATCTTGCTTCAAATCTTCCATTCTTTGTGAATCCAAGCTTAGTTTTGAGTGAGAAGCTTTGTGGAGTGAGATATTTTCTTCCCAAGAGTTCGACCCACTTGGTGATTGGAGGAGTTTAATGACATTTTCTTCCATGGGAGCTTAGTATACCACCATTCCTTGGTTATGTGATCTTTTGGGATAAATTTTCACTCCTCAAACCTTGTTTCCATGGAGTTTGCACGAGGTTGAAGATGATGAATAGTGGTTTTATGGATTTTATGAGTTAGAGTTAGATTGAAGCTAAGTTCCTTTACAAATGTTGTTAGGAATGACGAATAAATGGTAGAAATGAACTTAGATAGCCATTTGATTATACTATGAAAATTGCAAGAATATATGCTTGGTTTATGGATTTTCTTGCATTTGTAAACAACGGGTTGGCTGGATATTGATTGTGTCAATGTGATTGCTAGGATTGAGGCAATTGGACCATCCTTGAGTGACAAACCATTGGAGGAAGCCATGGAGCGTGATTAACTCATTTGAATTGGTAAGTTCATGCCTATTGTGATGTGAATATATTTGTTTGGTTGATGACAATATTGGTATTCATTGGATTGCCTTGATAGATTGTCTAGTACCTTAATGTAGGTATTGATTGTTGGTATTGTTGTAAAGCTTGGTTAATTACTCATTGTTGGTGAACAAAGGTTAAGCTTTGAAGCTCATTGAGGTAAGTCTTCGGACCTTGGGTGTTGATCCCTTTATTGTTCCACCAAGCCTAGAATGGGTAGTGGTTGTTGATAGCATATGTAAATGCGATAAAGTAGTTTAATGCTTTGTTATACGTATATGTATGCACTGGGTGTGACATAGGATGGTGGTTCCCTATATTTTGTATGTTGCATGACGGTGCGTAATTCGTACGTGGTAGTTTAGCTGGCCAGTACGACTATTTGCATCTGAGTATCCTTAGGACAACATGAGAGCTCAAGGGATGTCTTCTGGAGATGTTTTTACACACTGCATGGATATGTATTTACTACATCATTTACGGTTATTGCTATTATACTGGGAGTGAACTATGGGGTGGAGAAATGCTCCAAAAACCCCTGATTTATTGAGATGTATTCGTATATCTCATCTCATGTTGTGGGGACCGCCTTTCTGGTACAGATGCTGCAGGAGCCTCTGGTGGCAAGTGGCCATACTTGGACTAGATTGATACATGAGGATGTTGCATTATTTTGGTTATGTATGTCAATTAGTAGTTTCATGTATATGATTCCCATTTGAAAGCCAATTGATATGTGAACATCATGTTTTATTTTTGTGGACTTAGCCTATGCTCACTTCCTTTGGTGTCTCTTTTGTTGATGGGAGCCAAGGATTTGATCATAGTGTTTTGTAGCTAAGTCCCATGATAATGTATTAAAGACACTTGGATATTGTGTATATTGTACTTATTGTAGATATGATGGAAGGACATGGATGCCTATTTGATAATTGTGTCTTGAAATAGCTAAGAATCATGTATTCAAGTGGTTGTATAATGTCTATTAGGTGTTAAGAGGATGGTGAGAGAGGGAGGAATTTTCTCATGAAATTATATGAAAACAGGGGAGGGCATGTGTTGTCCAGTTGGAGAGCATTTTAGCGCTGATAAGGACGCTAAAGCGCGCTATGTTCGTAAAATGGAGGAAAAATCTCTGCCCTTGGGCATTTTAACGCGCAAGTTGGGCGCTAAAACGCGCTAAAGACATGGAGAATGCCAAATTCTCTGCCTTTGGGCGTTTTAACGCCCAATTGAGCGCTAAAATGCGCTACCCGAAAAATCAGCAAAAACATAGTTCAATAGAACTGGCATAACTCGAGCTATAGAGCTCCGATTTGAGCGCAATTTGAACCCACTTGAAGCTAACAAAGAGATCTATATATGATAGGAGATGGGAACTATGTCTATAAAGGAAGTTAGAATTCATATAAAAAGAAAGGAGATGAAGACATTTAACAACGCGTGGTCAAATAAAATAAGAATATGATGTTAAGCTTAGTTTCATTTATTCTGCAATGTCATATGGTTATGGTCACGCAATTGGTTATTTTAAATGGCTTTGTTCGAAAAGAAAAAATTATTTGAATTTCTAATTGAACCAATGTAATTGTAAGTGCGCTTAATATCATAATACAATATTAAAAAATTGGTTTTGGAACGAGATGTTACACTTTCTAAGTAGACAAAAACACCAATATTGGATCCTCATGCAGAGGCAGTACTAGAATACAAAATCCGATGTAGAACAATGGACAAAAAGAGAGACAAAGATAGGCAGAGTCTAGGGCAGGTTTCGTGGAAGTTCATGTAAAAGCAAAAGCAGTTGGTGACGTTATCAATGAACTGAGAACTTAACCAAATTTGATTTATACTAACATTGTGGTGCGAGTAACGACGAAGCCTTAACGGAAATACCGAAGTCCAAACGACAACAAAACATGAGTTCTTATGTATATCATGAAGTTGTTGCTACACTTTCATTTTACAACCAAAAGCCATTGCTAATATTGCTTTTCCGTCTATGTAAATGGAATCTTCATCTACGCCTCCTAAGTTCCACTTCCGAGACCACTCATTTCCGGAATCTCAAAATTCGATGCATTCATCAGATGCCAGTTCCGACGTCGTTTCTGCGGTCTCACTGTCTATCAGTGATCCTGATATTGCTGAGCTTGATATTGAATCCATGACCGGAAGGGTAGTTTTCAATTTCCATCATTATCTCTCTCTCTCTTCATAATTTTATTCATTGCTGTGTTTCATATATGATTTGGCTTATTGCTGATAGGGCATCAAACATCTGTGTGATGAACTTCGGGAGCTAAAGGAAGCAGCAAGTGAAGATTTACAGAAAAACATCTTTGCTAATTATTCCTCTTTCCTTAGGTCAAATGGTCAACTTCATTTTTATTTATCTTTATCATCAACAACATCTGCTCTATCATCTTATTGCTTGAATTCCATAAGGAATTTCTATTAATATATATATATATATATATATATATATATATATATATATATATGGGGCAGGATATTCTAGAGTTAGAAGTCTTACACTCAATCTTGACCATTGATCCACTTATATCCAATGGTTCACATTACTAAAAAGTTAGAGTCTTTAGATATAAGTGAGATCAATGGATAAAATTGAGAGTGTAACTTACACTAGTATAAAATGATCCTAATCCTATATATATATATATATATATATATATATATATATATATATATATATATAAATACCCATACAGGGGCATGATATTCTTACACCGGTGTAAGAGTTAGAAATCTTAACCATTGATACACACTTATATCCAATGATTTATATTATTAAAAAATTTGAGCCCTTAAATATAAATGGGATCAACGAACAAGATTAAGAGTGTAACTTACACTGATGTAAAATGATACTCACATATATATATATATATATATATATGTATGTATATATATATCCATCTGTTCATCGATTACTCAGATAGTCCGATTCGAGTTGGGTAGGACCACATGGACAGCAAAGCTCTCACTATCAAATTTTAACATAGTTGTGTTCAGAGTAACTTAAACTCGAGACCATTAATTAAGCTGAAACAACCCCTTATCAGTTGATGTATTTGCATAATGGTTTAAAAATATAATGTTGATGATTTCTGATTATTATTCTTTTGATGGTTGAGTGGCATATAATGCTGAGATACTTTTATGCTCTCATTTGTAGAATATTAGAGGAGGCGACAGGAGTAGAGAATGAGCTTGTGCAACTAGAAAACCATTTCATATCCCATAAAAGGCTAGTAAAGGACCTTACTGATCGCATATATCCGATGACATTGTCCTTAAACTCAACCTTCGAAGATCATATAGATGATGTTGAACCATCTTCCCCAAGCGAATTGGAATCTCATATCAATGATCTTTCAGAGAAGCTGGATATTCTTATGGCAGAAAACAGGATAGATGAAGTCCTGGACCTTATAGAATCTGCAGATGAACATTACCAAAGAATCGAATTGGAAGACTATTCCCATAGTGAGATAATGTTGTTTAACACTGTAATTTCTGAGAAAAAGTCCATGCTTACACAACAGTTGACACAGATAGCAGAGAATAAAAGAACATCAGGACCAGAGCTACGAAGGGCACTAGCTGCACTTTGCAGGCTTGGTGATAGTCAACTTGCCATTCATCTGTTGTTTAAATATTACCATTTGCGTATTGTAACAGGAACAAATGATTTGCAGTGGCCAAAATCATCTTCAAATGATATATGTATCAGGGAATTTGCAAGGTTTGTGTTTTCTATGATTTCACAAGCAGCAAGAAGCTTTGTGATGTTATGTGGAGAAACTTCTCCTTATGCCTCAGAACTTACGCTGTGGGCACATGAAGAAACAAAGTCATTTATTGCTTGTTTTGACAAACATATTAAATGTTTCTCAGCAATAAGTGTTGGGTTGTCCTCTGCCATAAATGCTGTGAAGTTTGGAGTCTTGTATTGTTCTTTGTTAGAAAATCAGAAACTGGTGTTGCGGCCATACTTGGTAAGGCATCTTTGCCCCTGCATGGAAGAGGTTTTGGATACACATATAAACCATTATAAGAAAGTGATTGCTATCTTCTCAGAAAGTGATCCTTGGATTTTAGAGAAATACCTTGTGTCTGGAGTGTTTGGTGGAGCTGGATCTTCAACTCTTGCTGTTGGGGAACAAACAGAATATTGCCTACTAACTACCAGTGGCAGGAAGGTTCTGACACTATTGCAGGTTTGTTGTAAGGCATAAAGTGAAAACCATTGTTGGAAAAAATGGGAGAATTTTTTTTTTAATTGTTATTCTTTATGTATATATAACATATTCCAGTGATTCTGTTTGTAATTCAGGCCATCATAGAAGATATTTCTCCTTTAGTTGGCCTTCAAATGGGAAGTTTAGTCATTAGTGGACTCACGAACCTCTTCACAGAGTATATAATCATACTTGAGAGGGGCCTTACCAATGAAACAAGCACAATAGTGCAAGGTAGTCCAAGAATCAAGTTAGCTGAGTCACTACCACAACAGGTTTCTATTTTAGCCAACTTGTCAACGTTAGTGCAGTTTCTCTCTACTATGGTCAAAAGTATCTTTAGCAGCTCCGGTCACATGGATTCACAAGTAATTGAAAACAATTCAATTGTTCATCAGCAGCAAGAACTTGATGATTTTCTATTGTTTATTAAAGAGGGCTCCAATAAGTTGAGAAATGTGTTCTGGCAGCAATTAGTTCTCAGAGTGTTGTCTACTTACCGTAGCCATGAAATATTTTCAGCTTTTCAATACAATGACCAGTTTGATGCTAACATGATACACAATCCAATGCCCTCTTTTATCTTTCAGGTATTATTTTCACAGATAACTCCCTAGAGACTTCTCAGTGTAGGGTCAATCAACTATTGATTTATTATGAAATATGAACGGAAGAGTTAAGACAATGGGTAGTTGGAATTATTTTTTTATGCTTAAGTTTTATCTTTCTTTGCAGCATTTCTAAGTCTCCTTTTTAAAATTTTATAACTATCACAGAAAAAGCTACTGTAAACAGAAAAATGGTGCAAATAGTTATGCAAGATGTTATACTTGGTCTAAATTTTTTGTCTATGTCCTGGGCAGGTTTTGTTTCTAGAACTGAGGAAAATAGAACAACTTGACGAAGAAAATGTGTTTGAAGTGAATTGGTTGATGGGATTACTAAGAGAGCTGATGGAGTTTATGTTTATTTGGGTTTCCAAGAACAAAGAGATCCATGAAACTACGGAAGAGAATGTGAGCTTACAAACTGATGAGGCCAACCAGGTTTTTGATTTCCCTCCCTTTCTGTTTATTCTTTTGGTTGTATACTGAGAGAGTAAAAGCACCATCGCAGCTAATTTACTAAATATGTGGCCATATTTATGTAGCTAAATCTTTCCCATCGTTTATTTGCATATTCAAATGCCAATATCCATATAATGTTCACTATCCTTACCAATATATTCTTAGTCAAATAGTTTTTTTTTTTCCCCGAAATTGTGTGGGATAGTTAATAGTAGATATACTGCTGCTATTCTCGTTGGCTACAGAATTCTCCTAAAAATGGGGGGCTAGTACTCATAAGGTTGATTATTTCCATCTTAGTGTCCCTGTCCTGTCCCCAAAAATTACAAACAATTCTAGAGGACACTAAATTCTTGGGGTCTGGGCCTATTACTAATATCTTTTGTGTTGAAGTGTTGGGGTGGGAACTTTATTCTAAATCGCTATTACCCTTGATGTAACATACTTCAATATTTCCAACAATATTTGTCACTTGGAAATTAAAAACCAGTTGACCTAAGATATATTGTATACTCTTTGACCTTCCTGATTTAGTAGCTATGTTCTATTTTTTAGAAAGTCATGATATGTTTTTAGTCCGGTGGTGTCTTCTTGAGCAAGCATTTACAATTGTTAAGAGGAAATAGCTCCTGAAGTATCTTCTTCCATAATCTCCTGTAGCCATAACTAACATGGTTTCTTTAATTCGGTCAAAGTGCACCTCATCACGACACTACTATATTAACCCAAGTACAAATCCATTTTTAAGACTATGTTGTTGGTTTACACATGGTTAGTTGAAAAACTAAAATTGGATGAGGCTATGAACTATGAAGCATGACGTACATGGAAACTATTATCATGATTTTTATCTATCTAAAGTGATTCTCATCCATTTTCTTTGTTCCTTGAGCAGTTTATTTTGGATGTGCAATTCCTGGTGGAAATTGGAATGTATGGAGGATACTTCTTCAACGATCCTTTGCTCCTTCTCACTCTCATGAAATCAACCTTTAATTCAGCAGGACTTGACCCTTTCAAGTAATGCTTTCTCATTTCCAGTGCATGAGAAACTCTTGGAGTTTTTTTATTATTCATGGTTCTGCAAACTCGAAACAATCTGTTCACAATCTCATGCCACACGTTTCTTGATCAAAACCTACATACATAGCTTAATGTGAAAATGGATGAATAAATTTTACAAGCAATAATTTCGTGGCATCCTTAAATGGAAGTCTCCTTAGTCCCTTTAGGTACAGAACCTCGTTCATAATAATGTAGTCTGAAATTCTTCCCATCTTCTCTATAATAATTAATAAGCAATAGTCAAGAGAGGTTGTCATGATATTGAAGGAAACCAAAAGTTCAAACATTGAGTAATAAAGGTATTTCTCCTGGTGGTGTTCTCGTGTTCTTTTTCAGAGATGTAGATAATGATGATTGGGCTATAGATGCTGCTACAAAAACGATTCAAAAGCTGTTGGAGATTGAGAAAACAAGTTTGCATCCAAAGGAACCTGTTGTTACTATCCAGGAGGAGTTACATGAATATGAGAACCAAATCAATCAATCCACTTATGGATGTAATGATTCTTTTGAGGAAGGTGATATAAACTCTTCAGAGAATAACATAGATGAGGTGGATGAAGTGGAAGATGAGTCAGAAGCTGCTGCCCTGTGGAGGAATCATTAGTGAAGAGAGATTATGTTGATAAAGACACTTCAAATTTGATACAACCTACTATCAGTACCATGCAATTAGAGAATAGTTATTTTAGAATGGCAGAAGATGCAGAAAATGATGAATTGGCTTCAACATCTTCCATGGGTGAGGTAGGACAGGATTTTCAGGAAACTAAACCAAGATCAGATGAGTGACCAACATGTATATAATCTATTAATTATATATATACATAATTTTAACTTCATACTTTGGTTTAAGGCCTATTTGACTTATTTGAAAGCCTTCATACTGATGCTTTGCATAACAAACCAACACGATTAATGTAAAGCCTGGTTTAGCATTGTCTATTTCCACCTCTAACGATATTGATATGAAACACTAGGCACTAGCTCAATGCCAAAGTCACATATTACAATACTCATCATCTTGAAACAAGTTATAAGATGCTGTAGCTCTAAGACATGGAGAAGGGTGGGGTCCAATGATCCTGTGGAGAATGATGCTTTGTCTGATCGAAGAGAATTAAGTTATTAATGTGACCCACGAAAATTCAATGATTGCAATCTTTGGTGAGGAAGAAAAAAGCTTCCTCCTAGAGAGGGATGAACAAGCATGCCCTTTTTCCAGTTTGCTCTCTTAGAACCTTTAAATTTGATGCTTTTTTGGTCGAGAAAAATTAATATCAAACACAACCTTAATCTTAATTCTTAAATACCAAAAAATATAGATGTTCATAGAAAATTATTATAGAAATTCCTGGTGGGAAAATAAAAATAATTAGCTAGTGGGGTGGTAGAAAATATTTATTGAAAAATAAAATAACAAACCAAAGTCCAATATTTCAAGAAGACAAATGGGGGGCGCGGATTGAGCACCAAGAAGACAATTTAGGCAAGAGAAAAAGCGATGTTGATGGTGGTGCGGAAAAATAATGTAGAGATTTTCCAAAAGTAAAATAAAATGTAGAGGAACCTTGAGATTTGAATTTTTAATGTAAGTTGTGCTGCAGCCCAAATAATGATGTTATTTACATATTATTTTCATCATTTTTATACTTTTTTTAAAAAAAAAATATTACTATACTTTCACATAAAATAACTTCCCTTATGTTATCTCACTTCGATTTTTACACTTCACATTTTTTTTTTATGTAATGGTGGGACCTATTCATTTTATCTCTACAACATAAGATACTATCTTATGTAAAAGGAGAGTAATAAATCCCTTTAAAAAAAATAATAAAACGAGAAAACATATATTTTTACCCATTCTCTTTGTTTTTATTTTATCATAAAAAAATTAAAATATTGATCTCCAGATAATAAACTTCGATGTAGCCCATGATTCATGAAAGGGAAAAAGGTGCTCTTTTAAAGGATACATACTTAGGTTATTTTAAAAGAAAGATAGACACAAAGAGGTGTGGATTCTACTAAAAAAAATAAAAATATAAATTCCATCTTTTTATGTCTACTTCTCTCCTAAAATAATTTAAAAGTTGTTATCAAAAAAAAAAAAAAAAAAAAAAAAATTAAAAGTATATATTCTTTTAAATGACATGAATATTTTTCCTACTTACAGTCTTTCATACTTTTTTCCGTATATTGTGAATCGGCCGTTTATATTAACAAAATTTACAACTTGTTTTCAAGCACCTGGAAAACACGGGGTGGTGGCGCAGTTGGCTAGCGCGTAGGTCTCATAGCTTCTGAGTTATCCTGAGGTCGAGAGTTCGAGCCTCTCTCACCCCATTATTTTTTTTAAAAACGATCCTTAAAGAAAGAGAGAAAACTTTATTAATGAGGGAAGGAATTGGTGGGAAACAGTCACACCATGATAGGCAAAAAAAAATTTAATTAATGTTTTTTAATAAAATAATTACGTATTTATTACAGTTTTGAAAATAATTATAGATCTATTACACAATGTGACGCCTTATTTGGGCATCTCACCCTAAAGGGAGACGCCCCAATGGGGCGTCTTTCATGAGGTGTTGACACGTGTCATTTTTTCTTCCAAAAAAAAAATATGTAATCATAAAACTTCTGAATGTCATAACTTTTGACTCGGGTATCTAAATTAGATAATTCATTTTTTGATTCCATATAACTTTTCGAGATCTATGCAATGAGATCTTATTTGACATATTTTATTTCTCACAAACATAATTTTAATTTGTAAAAATGGTATTATAAGAACGGTTAAACTCAGAAGCCTCTATGTTCTGAGTTTGTGATTTAATATAAAAAAATAAATAAAATTTTGATTTGTGATTTAATTTTTTTATAATAATTTTTTTTATTATAACAAAAATTTGGTTTGTGATTTAAATTAAAAATTAAAATTAAAATTATTATTAATAAGGAAAACAAAATAAAGATTTGATTTGTGATTTAAACTAAAAAATCAATTTGAAAAATATGTAGAAATAAAGAAAATAATTAAATAAATATTCTAAATTCATAAGGAGGAAGAATATTATTTTTGAAATTAATGATTAATGCTATAAGCTTCTGGATTATTATTCGTGGTCTGAAATTAATGATGGCTTATAAATGTTTTTCAAAATTAAAATTACCTAAATTAGACGTGATTGCCCCTTGATTGAAACTCAATTTAGACGTGATTCGTGACGTGTCAGGTGTTGAGACGTGTCACATTTTTGAACTCAGAAGCCTCTGCGTTTGTGATTTAATATAAAAAATAAATCAAGATTTGATGTGTGAGTTAATTTAAAAAATAATTTTTTTTTATTATAAAAAAAATTTGGTTTGTGATTAAAATAAAAATTACAATTATTATTAATAAGGAAAACAAAATAAAGATTTGATTTGTGATTTAAACTCAAAAATCAATTTGAAAAATCTGTATTAATAAAGGAAATAATTAAATAAATATTCTAAATCTCTAAGGAAGAAGGATTACCTGATTTAAATTAAAATTGTGTTTGTGAGAAATAAAATATGTCAAATGACATGTCATTGCGTAGATCTCAAAAAGTTATGTGGAATCAAAAAAAGAATTAGCTGATTTGGATACCCGAGTCAAAAATTATGGCCTTCAGAAGTTTTATGATTAAGTTTTTTTTTTTTTTGAAAAAAAAAAATGACACGTGAGACGTCCAAAAGAGGCGTCACATTGTGCAATAGAAATGTAATTATTCCCTGTAATAAATGCGTAATTATTTTATTAAAAAGTATTAATTAAATTTTTTTGCCCACCATGATAACTTAAAAAAAAACAGTGGAAATAAATGTAATATTTTACGGGAAATACTTTTTTTATATTGTTGAAAAATATTTATCTTATGTTGTAGAAATAAAATTATAAATGTGTTCAATAGGTAAGAGGAGAGAGAAAACAAGAGTGGTGAAACCCACTCCTCTTTTGTGTGTATAAAATTTTTTTTTCATGTAAAATAAGATAAATATAATCCATATCTTACTATTTATTCAGCATGAAAATTACATTTAAAAAATAACGGTAAAGATTATCTTCAAATGCATGTAATAAAATAACATTATAACCGGTAATTTTTTTATTTTTAGGGTATTCCCGTATCATCTTATTTTAAGAAGGAGATATTCTTTCAATCACACAATGATACCATCAGATTATTTTTACAAATGAAATTTTAAGGTTCCAGTATATTTCTTTTCTCAGAATGTGGGTCATACTCAAGCAAACTATCTTAGTGGGCTTCTTGGTTTTTCTTTGACTGCGGATCTTGGAAGATACTTGGGAATTCCTTTGCATCATAAGCGAGTGGGTCGGTCATCTTTCTCTTATGTTTTGGATCGAATGAATTCTAGAATTGCTGCTTGGAATCATGCCAGTCTATCTCTAGCAGGTCGTGTTACATTATCTAAAGCAGTGTTATTAGCAATCCCATCATATCCAATGCAGGTGTGTTCATTACCGCAAGTCACCTGTGAAGAGATTGATAGGAAGATTCGAAATTTTGTTTGGGGTTCATCTCCACACTCTAGACGTTCTCATCTTGTGGCCTGAAAGCAGATTTGCATGGATAAAAAAAATGGAGGCCTTGGACTGCGGAGTATGAGGGAAATGAACTCAGCATTTATCATGAAGGTTGGGTTCAACCTCGTAGCTCATCCAGATGCCTTGTGGTCAAAGTTCTTACGTGCTAAGTACAATGTGGAGGCAGGCATGACACCAATTATTCATGCTCCAAACAACAGCTCCCAGCTTTGGAAGGGAATTACGCGTCATTGGAATATTATAATGGATCATAGTCGGGTGCAGTTAGGCAATGGTCAGTCCACTATGTTCTGGCTTGATAGCTGGCTGCCCGATTGTGGTCCTTTGATCTCATATGCAGGTTCTCAGTTTTCTATTAGTGATACTCTTCAGAAGGTGGTGGACTACGTGGATGAATTGGGGCAATGGAAATGGAATTCTCTTCGACAATTGCTTCCAGATTCTGTGCTGCATCGATTTATGAATTTTCTTCCTCCTTCTAGTCAAGATGGCCAGGATCATTTAATTTGGAATGGAACGACAGATGGCAAGTTTACCGTTAAGTCAGCATATGCAATATTAGCCATCAAAGATACTACAATCCAACAGTTTCCTTGGGAAAGTCTTTGGAGATGGCAGGGGCCAGAAAGAATTCGCTTTTTTCTTTGGTTAATGGCAGGGGAGAAGCTGATGACTAATGTTTGTAGACTCCGCCGCCATATGGCTCTTTCAGATCTGTGTCCTAGATGTAATCAGTCTAGTGAAACTATCCTTCATACTATTCGCGACTGTCCACAATCAAAGGAAGTATGGTGCATGATAATGCCTCATATAAATCAGCGTGAATTTTTCAACCTCAACCTGCACAATTGGATCATTTCTAATTTAGACAGCTCAAAGGATTGGGGGATGGGGTCGGACTGGCCTCTTTTATTTGGAATCTTAGCCTGGAAAATTTGGAAATGTAGGAATTCTTGGGTTTTTGAAGGTGATCGCCAGAATGCTTATTCACTTATCCGTTCAGCAAT